CAGGGAATGGCCTCAGAGTAGAAAAGTGCAGATTTAGATGGATACTGGAAGGAATTCTTGGCTGGGCTGGAATTCCCAGAGCAGCTGGGTCCCTGGAATGTCCAAGACCAGGTTGGAGGGGTTTGGAGCACTGTGGGTCAGTGCAAGGTGTCCCTGTCATGGCAGGGGTGGGATGAGATAAACTGAGCTCCCTTCCAGCCCAAACCATGACAATCTGTAAAATATCCACCAAAAAAACCAGTGCCCATTCCCTGGAAAAGGCTGGAGTGACTCCTGTCCTGGAGAAACCCCAAAATCCCTGCAGCTGCTGACTTTAAATGAACGGGATAACAAGGAACAGGAGCCACAGAAACACCTCCCTGACACAGGAGGGGTTTAGGGTTGAGCTCCTGCTTTTCCAGGTGACATTTTCCCTCTCCCAGAGTGCAGGGAATGCCACAGTCCCCACTCCAGGCTGGGGATCCCAGCTGCACACCCCCAAAAACACAGGATGGTGGCACACAGGGCTTTTATCCCTTATCCTTTATCCCAATCCCAATTCCACATCCTCAGAAACACAGGATGGAGGCACACAGGGCTTTTTATCCCAATTCCACACAGGATGGTGGCACACAGGGCTTTTATCCCTTATCCCAATCCCAATTCCACATCCTCAGAAACACAGGATGGTGGCACACAGGGCTTTTATCCCAATCCCACACAGGATGGTGGCACCAAAGGCTTCTATCCTAATTCCACACCCTCAGAAGCACAGGATGTTGGCACACAGGGCTTTTATCCCAATTCCACATAGGATGGTGGCACCAAGGGCTTTTATCCCAATTCCACATCCTCAAAACACAGGATGGTGGCACACAGGGCTTTTATCCCTTATCCCAATCCCAATTCCACATCCTCAGAAGCACAGGGCTTTTATCCCAATCCCACACCCCCAGAAACACAGGATGGTGTCCCACAGGAGCATCCAGCTTTGATCCCAATTCCCTGATGAACCTTCTCTGCCTCTCCGCCCAACACCAAGTCCGAGCTCTAAAGCTCAACATTCTCTCTCCTATCTCTGTAAAAATCAAAAAATAACAACATTTCCTCAATTCCTAGGAACATCCTTCTCCAAGAAAAGATTTCTGAAGCACCTTCCACCCCTAAAGCCAACCTGATTTTCAGAGTCCATCCCAAGGCTGCGTTTCCTCCTTGGAGGCTCTGGAAATCCATTTCCATCAAACCTTCAGCCAGGAGCTGTTTTGCAGTGCTGGCAGCCAATTAGGAACTAAACTAAATGCACCGTGGCTTTTAAAACATTTTAGAGGGGGGAAAAATAATGTTAATATCAAAGTTAAAATGTCTAAGGTATAAACAAAACCCTAATGGGATGCTGGGTTACTGTATATGGTAAACAGCTCTCTGGAGGAAACCTTTATTATTCCCTCAGGGCTTTCTGACAAAGTATGGATTTCTTAATTCCCACAGGAATATTTTTCATACCCCACTGCAGACTATTAAGGCCCAGATATTGCATTCTGTAGTTTAAACTTTGCACCATGCAGAAGCAGGAGTTTTCTCAACAGGAAAAGTCCTATCTGTGCTATCTGAATTTTTTACAGTATTAAAATGAATCAATCCTGGCCGCGGGGTTGGAGCTTCTGCACCAAAATTTGGGGGAGCTGGGAGGGAGGGAGAGGCAGGAACAGGGGGTGAGGGATTCTGAAGGGGCAGGGCACTGCTGCCGTGCCAGGTGAGCCAGCAGGAATTCCAAATCCAGGACATCCCAAATCCCACTTGTGAACCCTCAGCTCATCCCCAGAAAAACCCAACGCCGTGTCAAAAACCGAATTAAACCCCAGAACGCTTTAAAACTTAAATTAAGATTTTTTTTCTTCCTGCAGAGCAGCAAGGGCCTGCTTACACCGTATCAATGTAAAGAACAAAATCGCTGTGAAATTTGAATTTTGGGACAGATTTCAGGTGAAAAACCTCCCCCCCAGCACCACTCACTTGTAGACTGTGCCGCCGTTGCCGTGGCCGAGGATGTCTCGGTATCGAATGTCTTGTTCATTCATCTCCAGGAGGAAGAAAGCAAGAAAAACAAAAAGAGATGTCATGCCGGGGATGGAAATGTCAAGGAAAAGCAACTCCAGGCCATAAACAACAAGCAGGCTGGGTCATTTCAAGTTCAGCTGCAAGAACGAGAAGATCAATACAACATTTGCCGTCCAATTTATAAAAGACGATACCAAGGGACGAAGTGATGGAAAGTTTAATGACAATTTGTTTGCCTGGGTCATTTCATTAAAGTTTGATAAAAGGTGTCAAAATGGAATGATATAATATAGCTCAAGAGGGTCAGGGCACTGCTGCTGGGAGGAAAAAGGGGCTCCAGAGCAGCCAGGAGGCAGAGCCAAAGTTGGAGGTGAATGGGAACAACCCCGGCAGCTGGAAAAGTTTTGGGATTTCTCCTGGAATCAGCACGGATTCTGAGCGGCAGCTCTGCCACGGCTCAATGTTGATATTTTTTTTTTATCTAAACAAAAATCAGTCCGGAATCCCAAATCGAAGTGATTTTTCCCTTGAAACACACAACGAATTCCTCGCCTCCGTTTTTCTGGGATAACCGAGATCCTCGGGAATTCAGCAGCTGAATTGTAAAAAATAAAAGCACTGCGCGAATTCCTGAATTTTATTTTTTGTGGATTTTACAACGGCTTAACTCATGGCCTGAGAAGCAACTGAAATGTAAAATAGTTCAATCTTCTCCTGGACAAGCAGATATTCTGATTTTGCACAAATTAAAAAAATCCCTCTAAAGGCCTTTTTGCAATTCACGTTTATACTTTAAAATAAATATTTTGAACAGAATTAATTCTTGGGTTCAAAGCAATTTTCTTTTCCAGAAAGATTCCTCCATTGCTTGATCATTTTAAAGCAGAAAATGTTTGGGCAAATCCTGCTTTGAAAAGATATTTTCCTAGGAAACATTAACTCATTTTCAGTAATTACTCGTATTTTATGGGGCACCAAGTTAAATATTTCACATGACTTGGCCTGGCTGCTTAAAGATGTCATTTTTGTGTATTAACACAAGTGATGATAACAAGCTCAAATGTCCCAAAGAGTCAATACTCAGCATTTCTAATGACCAGAAAATGAAATATTTTATTGATTCAGAAGAAGTTGCAAGGGCAGAAATGATTAACCCAAAATTGATGGTTTTTCCTTTCACTACCTGAGCAAAAAAATGTGGTTTTTCACTCGACTTGTTACACAGGGATGGGAAAACCTGAGTTGAGAGAACTCAAAGGAGGAGGTGATGCTTTTATTGTTTATTTGTAATTAAACCTGGGCCAGGTTCCTGAGGAGGGCCCATTCCAGCACCAAGGTTTGTGATGAAAATCAGGATTTATTTCATTACTGAAAGCTCCTCTTATTGCATCCATCAGAAAATGCAAACAAAAAGGGGGGAAGTTGCATTTAAAATATGTCAAGAGTCTACAGTGGATCCCTAAAATAAAAATAATTTCTCTCAGGCTGCAGACTTGGGAATTTTGGGGAGTTTTGCTCTTCCAAGTTTTGCTCTTTGGAGTAAACATCTCCAAAATGTCCTCCTGAACCAACCCCTCTGAAGGAAATCCACAAAACCAACAATAAATTTGTATTTCTGCACCTCGGTGGGGGAAAAGAGAAGATTTTTTTTGGAGGGAATTCCAGGGAAAACCAGGAATGCTGGGGTGGAGGCAGGAGCTGCCCAAAAAGGGAATAAAATGGGATTTACTGGCTCAAATAAAGGTGCCAAAAGCACGGGGTGATTTATTTATTCCACTGGAAAAGTGGATTTTCCATCATAAAAGGTTCTCCTTATGGGTATAAAGCTGCAACCCCAATTTGGATGGGCTGGAAAATTCAGGAATTCATGGAAAACCAAGCAGGGAGCAGCAAACAAAGCATCCCTCCTTTCCACCTGGCACTGGGAGGGTTTTTGTAAATAAAGAGCCAAATTCCCAATTAATCCCGGTGAAATCAGGGTGGGTTTTTTTGGAAATTAAAAGACAAATTCTCAATTAATCCCAATGAAATCAGAGTGGGTTTTGGATGAATAAAAAGCCAAATTCCCAATTAATCCCGGTGAAATCAGGGTGGGTCTTTTGTGAAATATTAAAATCCAACTGTCCAATTAACCCTGGTGAACTCAGGGTGGACTTTTTGTGAATTGTTAGAAGTAAAATTACCAAATAATCCCGGTGAATTCATGGTGGGCTTTCTGTGAATTATTAAAATCCAATTTCCCAATTAATCCTGATGAAATCAGGGTGGGCTTTTGGTGAATTATTAAAATCCAAATTCCCAATTAATCCTGGTGAAATAAAGGTGGGCTTTGGGTGAATTATTAAAATCCAAATGCCCAATTAATACTGGTGAAATCAGGGTGGATTTTTTGTGCATTATTACAAGTAAAATTCCCAATTAATCTTGGTGAAATCAAGGTGGGTTTGGGCGAATTATTAAAATCCAGCCCAATTAATCCTGGTGAAATCAGGATGGGCTTTTTGTGAATTATTAGAAGTAAGATTCCCAATTAATCCTG